AAAGTAGTAGTTTGCGTTCTTCAGAAGTTCTCAAGAAGATCTAGTGACTGGTCTTGCATTAAAGACATCAAATAGTTTATTTAAACAGAATTTTCCATTTAACCATTTAAACAGTTTAGTTCGGATTCACGGAGTGTAAAACCATTATTGAATCCGGAGCAAGGTCCACAACGATATTGCACGCGGCAAGCTTCCTGTGGGTAGTGTCAAACCTGGTGTAGTAGGTTGTCCTAATGCTTTTTTGGATGACGAGTTCTAATCTGGTTCAGGAGTCGTGGTTTTTCTCGCTGCATTTTTGAATGAGTTCGGTATTAGCGCAAAATGGTAAGAATATAATGGTGAGTTTGTAACAGAGAGAGCACGAGAATAAAAGAATCTGTATATTGTAAACCACCAATATTTGAAAACTTCAATGCAGAATCAGTGCTTTATCAGGCTGAAAACTTCTTTTGAAAGATACTTACTACTTTGATATATACAGCTATGACTGTCGGCGAAGCCCATGAGACTTTAGGACAACCTTAATGAACTGCTTCAGTAAACACTGAGCATTATGTATCTGTTACAACGTTAGAAAGAAACAAGGACAACAATGAGAAAGAGTGAGGTGAACTAGACGTGCTATGCAAACCGAGGAGAAGGAAAAACAGGGGAACGAGGAGGCACAGCAGAAAGAGAAAGAAAGTGCTGAGGAGAAAAAGGAAGAGTAGAAAATAAAGGAAAGAATGACAGGAACAAGTGACAGAGAGAAAAGTAGAAGGTGGAAACAATTAAGAAACATCAAACGAAGAAGACAAAGAAAACTTAAGAAGAAACAAAAATGAAAGGGAAAATAATATGAAGAGGAAGAAGTAGCAGCGAGCGCAGCAAGAACAAGAAAATGAGGAAGAAGAGAAAGTAAAAGACAATACTAGAAAAAATTAGAATTGGAAGAAGGCAAGAAAGTAAAAAATAGGATGGAGAAAAACGGCAAGAAAAGAAAAAGAGGCAGAAGAACAGGTTGAGAAGAAAGTAGTAAACAAAGAAGAAAAAAGGAGGATGAGCAGAAAAAAAGAAAAGGACCGAAGAAAGAAGTCTTCATCTGCACTGCTAGTTGCCCTCGACTTGAAAGTATAGACACCGGCTAGCTAATGGATTTCAGAATACAATCTGAACTTAAATAAACTAACGAATAAACGGTAAAATCAAAAGTATTTTAAGTTTAGATATATTAAAAGGGCCAATCCAACTCCTTTAAAATGAGCAATATTCCGAAGCACATAGTTGTTTACAATCTGAGTAGTGCTGGTAAAAAAGGTATTGTCATTAAACAGTGACGTCACATACAACAATTTTCAATTTAGATGTTTACATCAATCTTTACATAGGCCTTAAAATTATGCCTCAGTTTTTCCATGAACAACGCCTAACATATTTCGACAAATGTGTTTAGCTAGGATAATTTTTTCAAAATAACATGCAAATAATTAATTATTTCTGGCGACAGGCAACAAGCGCTGCTGAGCAAATCTACGAAGCCGGTGGAGTCAAACACTCAAAGAAACTACCGCGTAGGAAATAAACTCTAAACTCATCATTCATTCTGTAATTTATTTGACCGATGTCGTATTTTTGTTTAACGATAAATCAAGACGAGGCAGGTTCTCTGGACCACAATCGCCATGTTTAAAAGAGCAGCAAACTTTAAAAACAACTATGCGTGTATGCGTTTAGAAATAAGATCGATACTATTGCTTATGAGCTGGGAATGCAAACAACTGAACTACACTACTGAAAACTGCAGCCATTGGTAAAAGTTTCATTGCTAACGTGTTTCGCTACTGCCGAATATGACGCCAGTTGTGCCATTATGCATGACAGTTAAACGCATTGTTAATACGCTTTATCGATGGCTTAATTTCATGTCCTTAGTCATTGATCAACAGATCAGCTACGGTCCCAATAAAGGCTTCAGAATCACAAACATCAAATCATATTTACGCATTGTTCTAAAAGCACGTCATTTTATCAATCAGTAAATTCCGATGACAATTTACTCTTTCAAATGCTGCGTATTCTGCGTCAACGCTTGAGTTTCGGTACAAGGTAACTCCAGTCTTGTAGGACAGATTGTGTCTAGACATTTGCTAGTTTATTTTTGGCCGTCCCCGGGGTCCTCCGCCTATCTTTCCGTTTCACCTTCCTTCTTGGAAGCATTTGCAAAACGTGCCGAAATAATCGCGGTTGTGACTTATCAATCTGAAGAAGCAGCGGCTGTACGCCAAGGCTCTCTCGGATATCCATTCTCTGGATCCTGTAGAGACGCTTAAAACCAGCGACTCGTCTCAGAGGGCCCATTTCAACTACTTGTACCCGGAATAAGAGTTTGCCAGCCATGACCTACGTAAATGTCAACGTGGCGTGATATAACCTGTTCAGATCTGAATCTGAATTCTTGTAAAAGTCGAGTATTCAATCATCGAGTCGCATTTT